CCCTTTCACGTTTGCCGCAAATGTCAGGCCGTGGCAGCTGCTCAAATTAATTGCCACATGCCTTAAGCCAGCAGCAAGCAGCAAGCATTGCCAGCAGTGCCCCACCCCCGCTTTTACCCCCTATTGCTTAGATTTAATGCTGACCCTGTCAACCTATTCACATTTCAGCAAGCAAGCGGCGAAGATGACTTTGTATGGGTGCATGCCACACAAAGCCGCATTAAATTATAGGCAGGCCATCAAAATTGCCATTCGGTGGCTTAGTAGCTGGGTCGTCTTTTGGGAGCTGTGACTGTGACTGCAACTGTGACTGTGAGTGGAGCTGGGGCTGGGGCTGGGGCTGGGCCTGGGCCTGGGCCACATAAGCAACCGCAAAAATCAGTTGCGGCAACTGGAAGCTTGCAACTGGCAAGTCTCAGTTGTGTTCTATTGTTTTGTATGCCTTTAGATTGGTTTTGGTTATTGTGGTAAGCAGCCTTTTGCGCTTCATGCCACATTAGTCAATGACACTTGCTGTTGTTGTTGTGAGTGCTGTCTGCTGTCTGCTGCTGCTGCTGCTGCTTGCAACATCAACATCTTGCGTCAAGCGCTGAAATGATTATATATTGTAAATTTTTGCAATGCGACGCCAAATGATACAGCAGACCATCATTTCCGTCAAAAAAATACACATTTTTTACAAACTCAAAGTTGGTTTTACCGAGCATGAGATTCTATTCATAATCAGCCAAAATCACTCTGAGCTAACTTATTGATATGATAATCATATTGATTTAAAGAAAAGTAAATCACATAATAATCGTTTTCAATAAGCTTGATTTGTTGCTCAGGAATTCATCAATTTGGCCTGAGTAAACAGCTGAAATTTAATAAATAAATTTTAACTTGTGATTTGACTTAAAAATTTATTATGTTCCCTGACATCATTCAACCTAAAACTATATAAATAAAGAAGGTTACACAATTTGGAACCAGTTAACAATCAGTATAAAGTATAATTATAATAATAATAATATAAAATAAAAATAAAAAATTGAAATAAATGAAATCTGAGTTAAAAACGAACGCTGCACATAAATCGATAGTTGTGTAAATCAAAAATGTCATATTTCCAAAGCACAGCAGCAAATCGTAAAAGCAACTACAATATTATCATGCTGCAACAGCAGTAATATCAGCAATAACTAATTAGCAGCAGCAACAGTTGCTGCCACATAATGCAAATGCAAATAAATAGCACATTAGCGAAATGAATACAACTGACAGGAAGTCTTGATGGTGATGTTATCGAAGAAATTCAATAATTACAAATTGTGAAAAATTGCAAACTGGCAAACAGCAATAGCAACACCAGCATTGGCAATAACTGCAACAGCGACAGCAGCAACATGTGGGGGCAATTTACGCGCTTTTGATCAACAGGAAATTTGTTTGGGGCATTGCAAACGCAGTTGAATCCAGCAGTGGCTTGCCATGCCGGCCTAACTGTGCACTGGTGCACTGTTGTTGTTGGGGTTGACACATTTTGTCAATTGGCATGATTATGTTGTCGCTGCACTGTTGTTTGTGGCAAGTTGCTGGAGCTGCTGCTGTTTGTTGCATTCATAACTAACGCAATTGAGTGGACGGTAAGTGAAATTGGTTTCGCTTTCCAGTAAAAGCGTGCGACTTTTCTTTTTTGGTCGACGCGTCGTGCGGCTTTTCGCTTTCCTCAGCAACATTGATTTCCTCTTTCATGGCCGGTTAACGTTGCTATCGACTCAGCTCCGCACCAATCCTAGTTGCATTTGCAGTCCCACAAAAAGTGTTTCCTGCTCCGCAGCAAATCGTGCTCTGATGTTGCAGTTTTGTTTTTGTTATTGCTCCCAGTTGTTGTTGTTGCTGTTGTTACTGTTGTTTCTCTCAGCTAGCTTATTTTTTGGGCACTATGCAAAATTGTCAACATTTACGAGTATCTTTCAATTTGCATACCTCATGAGGCACATACTCGTACAACGCCGCCACGACATCATCCACACAATTTCACTTTCGCTGCTGCAGCTGAAACTCTCACTGTGCCCCAAATCTTATAGTTTAAATTGACAGCTTACGTGCATTGCCATGTTTATTTGCTCTATGTAGAGTACCACATATATATAAAGCTTATCAGCCACACAAATAAAATGAGAGTCAATAACTTATTTTTGAGATCTGACAACCAAACTTAAGTCACGAGAATTGATTATAATTGATAAAGTTATAGTCAAATTTAAATTGCATCTAATTACTAGCTAAATTCAAGAAGAGAATGAGGAAAACTTCCAGTTCGGTACAAACAAATAAATCAGCTCAGCAGCTAAAGCAGGATATGAGTGGGGTCTCAAAGTCGACCCTGAATGTTGAAATTCGAAGAGCTGCTGCTGCTGCTGCTGGTCGAGTATGCTGGTCATGAAGTGACAATTGATTGCATCAATTCATTGGACGGTCTTGGCAGGCGTTCAAACATATTTATTGTTTGCTTTGATCACCGCAAGTCCTTTGCATTTCAACAGTAAAAAACAAGTAACAAAAAAAAATCGCAGTTTGTATGCATATAAGTACTTGTAAAAATATGCACGGTGCAAACAACAATACAAAAATGTGAAGAAAAAATATGCAAGCTCACATTGTAATTTAGATCATGGTTGATAAGTTTTATGACACGAGCGCGCCCTATAAATTTATTTCGCCGACGCCGTTGATAGTCTGCAAAAAAAAAGATCGTGTCTTAAGTCTTTCGTTTGTGAAACCTCTGTGAAACTGATGCGTGTGTGTGCGTGTCTGTGTCTGTGTGTGTGTGTAAGTGCTAGTGCCTCCGTGTCGCATTGCTGTTGTCAGCTTGTTAAACAACTCGACTGTTGACTCGACGCGTCTTTCAGTCTGGATGGACTCGGCACTCTTTGGAAACGGCAGCAATAAAGCACAGCGCATCTTCAATAAATTGAATGCAGCTGCCGACAGATAAAGCTGTAGAAATTATACAACAAAATCAATTGCATTTTGCTTCGGCGGGGTTTTTGTTTGTTATTTGTTTTTGTTGTTACATCTCTTTGAGGCTTTCGCTGTGTGCCGACATGCCGACACCGACAGCGACGGCGATGGACCGTGCAACTATCTTATATAATAATTGACATGAGTAATCATCATAATCAACAACATCATCGCCGTCATCGTCATTATCGTCTTCAGCAATTGCAAAAACAATGAACATTAAGCTAAGCAATCTTGTTTGCATAATTTACTCAAGTCGACAACGCTTTGAAGATATTTTTGAATATTTATCTCTTAGGCTCTTTCAGTGACTCAGAACAAGGTAGCCAAACTATGTCTGTAGATATTCAAATATTTTTTTCAAATATACTTATTCTGTTTAATATTTTAAGTAAATAATACAGAGAGAAAATTTGTAAAGAATTCTTTTAAATATTTTTTTTGTTGATAATCGCATTTTTTATTTATTTATTTTCTTTTTTTAATTTGTTACTAAAGTATTGTCTACTCAAGCATTCCTCTCTCTAGTATTGTATAAACAACATGACAGCATAAAGGACTGAACAATTATAGAGTGTAAGCAGAATTCGACTCAAGGCACACACACACACACACACACAGACACACACACACACATATATACACTCTGGTCTGTTGTCATTTGTAGCATGCTCAATCAACGCATGAGTTGCCTGCTGTCAGCGTGGTTGCTGTTGATGTTGCTGCGGCAGTGAGGGTATTCCTTGTGCTTCTCATAGACGGCTGCTGGTCCGGTCGCTGCTATTAGGGAGGCTGCCTTTCCGTTGTCTGGTCCGTTTTGTTACCTGAATTTCATGGATTATTCTGCTAAAGTTTGAATTTTAGGTTGTTTGGGGACTGAATGATTGGGCATAAAATGATGCGACATGTAGCACTTGGAGCGCAATCACAGCCGCACTTTGTATTTTCAGCTAGCGGTTGCATAATTAACAAGGCAAAGGCTGCCAGCCAAAACAATCAAACGGCAAAAAAAATATAAACAAAATTCAAAACAAGAGACTCAGGCCACGAACTTTTGGCATGCCACGCGCTAAGTTAGTGATTGAGTGACTGACTCACTGACAGTCTATCAATACTAGCTCTGATTACGAATATTTGGCATTGCTGCAGCATTGCGCTAATTGTGCGCAACAACCCAGCTGACAACTTGTCGATTGCGACGGCGACTGCGACTACGACGACGACTACGAGTGAGAGTGAACATCTGTTGCATCTGCAATTGACAGCAGACAGTGATGGCAAAAATTTACAATTCCAATTGCAACTAAGGCAAACAGCAACAGCAACTGTGACAACAACAAAAACAACAAAAACAACCACAAATGGCGGCCATTGCCTTTGTAAAAATAACAATAAGAATGTGTTGCAATTGAAAATAATTGTTTATGCTTGGCATTAAAATCATTTCAAAGCGACAAACGCAAACAGCAGCAGCTGCAACAACGGCAGCAACATTTGTATTTGATATTTGCGCTCTGCTGTTGTTTAAATTTTCAAGTTTCCAGCATAACATTGACAGTTGCCAAAGAGGAAACAAGCACAAGTTAAACGAGAACAGCAACAGCAACATCAGCAGCAGCAACAAACAGCGAACGGTAGCCCAACAACAGCAAATAGGTACCAACAACAATGACAAAACTTTAAACAGATTTGTATACCCTACAAATAATTATCGTTTGGATTTTAATTTAGTTTTTAGCCAATATATTTATAGATGCTGTGATACTTTTAGGTTCATTCTTTCACATGGAGTCTTATCATAATTTTTGCTGAAATTATGTCTGTAAAAAAACACAAATTATTCAAGGAAATAAAACACATATTTATTATATATTGCTGAAAAAATAGATAGCCAGACTCATTGCAATATTTATAAATTATTCATTATTATTTATTATGGACACTTTGCTGTTAATACTGTTATTACTTAGAGTATATCTTAAATCGTTGTATTTGTGTTATATTATGTTGCCTTTATTATTGGGTAATAATGTCACAGCAATCATTTGTTCATTTGTTCAAATGCACAGCATTAATCTCGATTTGTTAAGCCCACGACGACAATGATGGGGATGACGATTGTGGATTGACGATGATGACTTAGACTTAGTCTTAGACTTAGACTTAGACGTCGTCTCTGTCTTAGGCTGTGACTACGTCTTCTCGGGATGATGAGCACGCTGACAATTTGGCTCTGGGATTTGCTGTAACTGTTCGTTGAAAGTGACTGTTCACAATTTATTTGCATTAGTTGGCAACAAACTGTTGGGGACGTTAAATATGCTTGCAGGGTTGCCATCACGATATCTTGCGACTGTGAAAGGCTCAAAAACGAATGTTTAACTCTGTACAAACAAAACAAAAAAACAAAATTAAATAATAATAATAAAACCTAAAAAAAAACAACAAAAAAACTCCAACTGTGAGGCGCCTAAATAAACAGAAGCCGCTGCCAACAAAGTCGCCTTGAGCTTCGCTCGTTGAGACATTTCAATATTGAACTAGTTGTGCCTCTCGCATTTACATTTCAAATTGTTGATATCAGTGTGCCTAATGCTTCTAAGAAGCTGTAATTGCTGCTAGATGAATCATCGATCTGTGAGGTCTTCCAGCTGTATTTTACAGATCTACAGTGGGCACTTTTTCTTATTTGTGGGCCAACAGCTTAAGGTCTTTATATAAATTATGTTTCTCTGTCTGTGCACTGCGATCGCTTGGGTTTATTGTTTATTGAGCTGAACTGCAGCATTGTGCTCTCTACGAAAGAATGAAAGAAAGAATGAATCTAAACTTGAAAGAATCTGAAAGAATCTGAAGGAATCTAAGTCTGTTTGTTGGCGGACATTCCTCTAGAATGTTTTTTTTGCAATCGATTCGCTCTCAACGCAGATCCTGCTCCTGACATACTTCAACATTTTTATTTTGTTAGTCACCAAAATCAGTTTTTGTTCAATTTTGCTATTGTGTGCTCTGTAATAATTATTGTGAATATATAAAAAAAATAAAAAAAATATGAAAGCAAAGAACTTAATGTTAGTACTGAAAATGTGATAGACTTAACCACAAAAATAATTACACAAACTGAAAGCGAGTGGCCATATATTATTTTTGAGAACATTCAAATGCAGTTGACTGTCAACACGTATGTAGAAAATGTATGTTGGTATGCTCCAAGCATACCATTATATAAGATAAGCCAGTAAGTTTGTGTATGTATGGCCAGGTAGATAGATATCCACCCACAGATTCTGTCGCTCATGATGTCGGGCCTGTCACCTTAATGAGCGTTTAAATGCCAAATTAATGCCAGCTAAGCCGGCTAACGGGGGCCCTTGGCCGCACCGGGGACCGTGACTCAAATGCTGCTGGGGTCGACAGTTTTAGTTTCTGATTCAGTTTTGGTTGCTGCTTTTTTTTCGTGTAGGCGACAAAATCTGCACTTTTGGCGGGTTTCTTTTTTTCTTTTTTTTTTCTTGTGTGTTTTTGTGTGTTTTTTTTTTCCACTTGCATGTATCTTCGTTGGGTTATTGGAATTGCTGCTTGTAAGTGGTAAGTGGCAACTGTTTTGTTTGGCCGATCTTGGTTCTTTCGTGTCAAGTGGCCATAGTTGCTAGCCATAATTTTGTTTTCATTAACAATAAATTTCAATTAAGCGCACGATTTGGATATTAATAAAGTTTTCAGCGGCACGAAAGGCAAATAACCAAAAGCAAAAGCCATTGCTGTGAAAAACAATTTGTGTATGTGTGTGTGTGAAGTATGTAAACCTTTTTTGGTGTGTACTGAAAATGATTTTCAGTTGCCGTTGTTGTTATTGCAACGGTACCTTACTATATTGTCTCGCCTGCGTGTGTGTGTGTGTATGTGTGTGTGATTGAATTTCAGTTGTGCTTGTGCTTGGCCAAATGTTTTGCTGTTGAAGTTTATTAGCCAACAGCGCGAATTTCCATGCAGCTAACTGCCGAGTGGGTGTTCGAGTTGCGCGTTCTGTTGAGTTGTTGCCGCACACAAAAACACACAGACCGACAACGCAATGCCACAAAGAATTTGTTATTTTGGTTAAGCGAGGCGCGTTGACAAATGCTTGCCGCAAGACAACATACAAAACGGTTTTCAAGTGCTGCCCGAACACAAATAAAATCAACAAAAATCCCATTTCAGAGGAGTGCCACAAAAATTGTAGTGGCGGAATGGAGGGAGTGTGGCATACAGCTCAGTGAATGCAAGTCAAACACAAAAATGAAGTGCAACTCGATTTCAAGGAAATTAGTTTGTAGGCAGAGACCTCTAAAGAAGTTTTCAGACTGTTATCGATTTTAATAGCCTGTTTGTGCACGAGTCAATAATTTTGCATTGATTCTTACAACAATTTTGTGTTAAATACCAAATCAACGAAATATTTCAACTGCAAATGATACAACAGAAATTGCAAGCAAGATCGCTTAAAACGAGCTGCAACAAATTGCGGCAAAACGAACCGCAAAAGCAAATGCCAAAAAAAAAAAAACAAAAATTAAAATAAAAAACCAGCAATCAGTAGGCGATTAAAATAACAAACACAGACAAGCACAATGACAACCAGCTGAATTTAAACAGAGTTAGACTGAAACGGAAGTGTTTTTATGATTAATTAAGAATGATGAAAAGCCCATTAAGAAGTCGTCTATAAGTTGATTGGCTGTTTGTCAAATGCACACATATTCCATTAATAACCTGGCTAATTATAATAAATTAGTCACATTTGTTTATATAGCAATTGTCTTCAGTCCCCTCATTTGCACAGAAACGGTGCATGTGTCGTATGAGTAATATATATTATATACGAAATTTAACTATTCGCAGCTTTGACCTTTGCGCAGAGTTTTGGGTTCGGTTGCATTTCAATCGCCATTTTGGCCGACGTGAAACGAGTTTCATGTTTTCCCACGACAAAAAATTGGGCGGCACAACGAGTAATTGAATTCATATACAACGTAAGCGGAGCCAGACTTTTAATTAGTTTTAAACTGACAGTTGCTCAATTAAAATTACAGGGCAGCTAAACCGGCTATGCATGGGCACACCCAAACTAAATCATTCCAACCAATATCTAGGATTACTTACACGCTACGCACTCGAACTGCTTGAGGTCCCCAGCCCCAGCTGTGCCCATGATCGAGCCTTAGCCTTAGCCTAAGCCTGAGCATGAGCCTGGGTCTGGGTCTGGGTCTGTCACTCGTTTCAATGCGCCAAATAGGCATAGACATAGTTTTCACAAAAAAAAGGTGAGGCCATAAATTGAGTGCCAGCCTCCAAATGTCACAACATATGCCAAAGTCGGACACTGAGTCGGGAAATCTCCAGCTGTCGATAGATAAAGAAAAAAAATAAAATAAAACAAAATTTAAATACAGGCCCACATGTAATAAGAACCGCTAGCGGGCAATGACCATGACTGAGACAGCAGTAAAAGCAGTAGCAGTTGTATTTGCCGTTGCCGTTGCAGTTGCAGTTGCATTTGGACTGGCTGTAGTAAACCGTTAAACTGAACAACTGACCAGTCTCGCGACAGTCGACAGTCGACAGTGGTACCAGAACATTAGATACACGGACCAACGGGCGATATAGACTCAACTATTCCTGCTGATCTGAAATATATATAAACTATGAAATCCGAAATGGGAGCTTTTGTCTGTTACATACATACAGCTCCAAAATGCTTTGATTATTATTTTATATTTATTAAAATGCTCGATCAGTTTCAAAATACGTTTTGCCTTGCTAAAGAATAAATGTAATTTTCTGATTTATGGTATTTGAGCAAAACTTAAGTCGCTGCAAAGGGAATTCTTCTCCATATTTATTCCTTATTAAGAACTTATTTATGTATGAAATTGACATCAGCCCACTGTGCCAAACAGGTGCCTGAGTGTCTTGCGGTAGGTGTGGAATTAGATCCGCACCCCTGGCGTATAATTAAATCATTTGCCATAAAGTTTTACTCAGCCAAGTTTTCTGGGCCTGTGCCTGGCTGGCTGGTTCTTTAATGAAGACAGGCAAAATACGTTTTTCATTATACGGCCAATTAAGCAACTGAGTTAAAAGTATTTTTAAGAGTCAACACTCCCATACCGCATTATAATGGACCCATACATGAGCAATCCAACAATTAGTTATACCCACTGTACAACATTTTACAACAGTTCCTGCTGGTAGACTTGTAGTCAGAGATCAAAATCAGCCAGTTGGCAAGCAGCTGGAGCGTTGTTTGGAATTGGTCTTTGGGGACCATGACATGTCCATCTAATGGAGCTGATGACTTTTATGACTTCCTTCCGATTTGCGTGCCCAGGCTTAACAGCCCTGATATTGTGTGGCTATGAAGAGACAGCCCAGAGCCTTTAAGCTAATGACCTGATTTTGATCTTGTTGCGATTTCTTTTCAACTTTTTACAACAGCAAAATACACAGCTGGAAAACACTCCAGCAATTTTGAAAGCTTGACTGTTTCGCCAGTTATTAAATATTGTTGATGTCGATGTATTTTTGTTTTTAAATCTTTATTATTTATATTACAATTAAGAGCTGGGTTTTCTTTTTATGTACATACAATACAAATACAAGTATAATTATGTTTAATTAAACAAAAAATAATTAAGTAATCGATACGCATCATAAAATACGATTAAACACATAAAAATACAAATACAAATACAAATACAAATAAGCTACGTGCTACAATTACAGTTAACAATTATGCAACACGAAATGTGAGGCAAGTAAACAGATACACAAAAAAAAAAAACAAATTACAATAATAATAGTTATAATAATAATTATAATAATAATAATTAGTTACACACACAATTAACGGAACTATTGCAATCCATTGACGGGGCAGAGGGGCAAGTGTGCAAAATGAAATGAGGCCGCAGAAGACAATCTGATGTTGGAATTTTTTGCTTTGCTCAAAATAAATAAAATATAAAAACATAACTAACAAGTGGGAAATATGCAAAGTTTTTGTCAGATGAAAATTACAAATTATATGCGCTCACAACGAGTCGAAAATGGTTGTGCTCTGTGTGGGAGCTTAACTGAGGGCCAGCAGCGGCTCCAGCTCCACTTCCTTGCCAATTGTCTTTTTCTTGTATTTCTTTTGCAGCTTTGTTTTGGATAGCTTTGATTTGGATTTGCTGGGCTGTTGCTTTTTGAGCGCCGCCTCCTCGAGCGCCTTCTCGCGATCCAGCAGCTCGAGCTGCTCGAAAATGTTCTTCGGATGCGGATGGGAGCTCGGCTTGGTCGCATTCTTTGCCGCATACACAACCACAAACTGTGAGAAGGCCGAATCTGCGGGCGTATTTATGTCCGCAAAATCACGGAAATTGGCGAACTGCTCCTCGGGATATGTGTACTTCTGTACGAACGCCTCACTGGGACGACCATGACCATTGTTAGCATCGCCATAGATGTAGTCGCTGTTGTCCTCCGGATGATAGGGCATCTCCTCCTCCGGATAAAAAGTGCCACCGCGGAGCACACCAAAGTCACCGCTGCCCAGAATGGCTGCATCAAAGCCACGCTGCTGATGCTGTTGCGGTTGTGGCTGCTGCTGATGCGACGTCGTCAGCAGGGGCAGCTGCAGTGGCGAGTTATCGCCAACGGGGACAGCGGGTCCAGAGAAATAGGGACGCGAATGGCCCAATGGTGGCGCCTCATGATAGAACGGTGGATAGAAATTCTGCGCCGCCTGACTATGCAAATCGGCACCGGGTCCGGCCGTGACATCTGCGCGCGAAATCAGCTGCGTATTCGGATTGGCAATGGGACGGAACTGCTCCTGTTGCAACGGCAGCACAGCCTGAAAGTGGCGGCTCTGTATGGGCGTGGCAATGGGAACAACTGCCCGCTGATTCTGCTGCAGCTGCGTTGTGGGCGGCATATGGTAGTGCTGCTGCTCATGGGAACGAAGCACTGTAATGGGCGTAAAGTCATTCGGTTCCATCAGCATGTCGCTGTCCTCCTCTGGAAACTCAGCTGCAAACGATATAGAGAGTGAGAGAGCGATAAGAAATGAGTAAGACAACAACCAAATAACACAAAAGTATAAAACATAAAAATGAAGAACATTGCACTAAAAATAATTGACTTAGTTGTTTGGCGGATTGGGTAGTTGAGAACAATCGTGACTGGGAAATTATATGCCTATCTTTGAATTTATATATAAACTAAGATTTAGAATCCATAACTTAAATTAGACTGCAAACCATTTCGCTTATAGATAGATATTGTGCAAAACCAGTATACTCTTTTCTCATCGGGATCAGAGAATAACGCAAAAATTTGCAATGAATTTTCCGGCAGGCGTATAACATCGTCTTGACTGCTCTTCGATGGGCCACTTGAGCCAGCACTCGAAGATAAACTTCAGTATCGAGTGGCTCGTCGGCTCAACAGGCAGAGAGAGCTTCTTTGTTTGCACCGTCATTGTTAAGTGGCGAAATGTGTGGGTTAATGGCGATGATGGGGCAGCTGTGGCCACAGCCAAATGTGTCGAGAAGGAAGCGAAAGTTGCAACTTTTTTTCCTTTTTTTTTTTTTGATGATGATGCTCTCAACTTTTTCTGACACTCAAGTGCCTCACTAAATCCAGGAAATCCAAAGTGGGACCACAGCTGAAACTAACTTTTTGAGTTCAGAGCTGTCTGTAAAAAACGTAATTGATCGAAGATAAACTTAATATTAACTTGGTTTTCAAATGCAAGTTCCACATTTACATTTGGTAAGCTGACTTTAAATATGTAAACAGCTATCACTTTACGAAATAAAATCCAAATTGAATAGGCATTTCTTCAGCTCTGCCAAAGTATCAAATATAGATAAATTAATTTTTAAACTTCTCTATTTACTCATTAATTGACAAAGGTTTGTTAGCATACAGAGAGGAGCGTGGCAGTGACAGATATAATTAGATATAAACTATACATATAATTACTAAAGATAGTGACCACATTGGGGTATCTATTGGTCGTTCATTGGTAATGCCACCTGCTATCCAATCGCACCCAAAAAAAAACATTGCACAAAGCATTGCATGCAGCAGATCAAATGCAAAATTCCGAATGCATTTCGGTTAAATTGCGATCAGCGATGCCAACAAATATTTTGTCATATCAGCTGCCACATCTTTGCATTGAATTCTTGAACTCGTGCCACTCGTGCCACCACTCGCTGCTCGGCTCGATTACATGCAGCTTCTGAGGCTATGCTCAAATTTGTAGCTATTATTGTTGGTGGTGCAGTCGGTGGTTTCTTTCTTTTCTTATTTTTTTTTTTCTAGTTTGTTTTTATTGGCTGTAGCTGTGGTTGACCAGCAAAAGTCGATAATAATGTAAGCAGCTGGCAGCTGGCATACATTTTGTTCTAGCCATGTTGCCTGTCAGATAGCCGGGGCAACCGACCAATCGAGCCACCGATCAACTGACCCTCCCATTGCCCATAGTCCCAACCCCCCACTCCCCACTCCCCTCCCACATCCAGTGAGCCTTTCAACTGCCACATCGCAAGCACGAGTCGCCTTTCATATGGGTAGTTGTTGTTGTAGGTGTTTTGTATTTTTTTTATTGTTGCTGTTGGCTGCTTGTCTGTGGTTTTATTTCAACATGAACTCAAATTTTCACTGCATGCAATGCTAACGGTATTTTTATTTTTTCTACATTATTTTTACCTTCTTTTTGCTTTTGTTGCTGAACATTGCATATTGACAACCAATGTTTTCTGTTTACCCTGTACCCATTGCAAATGGGTATGATGTATATATTTACAACAAGCGGACAAGTGCAACCTGCAATACATATGAGAACCATGAGCTCCGTTGAATTGCGCACAGCCTTCAAAACATCGATAAATTTCGATTCCTGACATTGTCTTTTTGTTTATTTTATTTATTTAGTTTTAATTTCATTCAAATCAGAGTGTTGGTCAGTCGGCTATGTCCGACTGCAACGTTCTCACTTGTTTTACTTTTTTGCCTAGCAAAACGGAACATAATGAGTTGGTTAAGTGTAATTGGCCATTGCCTGGGTACGTTTCGGGTTTGGGTTTGGGTTTGGGTTTGGGTTCGGGTCTCGGTTTGAGGCTTGAGTCTTGATTTTGGCTGTGGTTTTGGTTGCGAAGCTTACGTTAGTTGTGTGGGGGCTGCCCGGCCGCTTGATGATTTTCGATAGCGCTGCCAGAAAATGGGTCAAATACATTTCGGTTTTTGGCAGCGATATGTCGTGTATTAAGTATAAATTACTTTATTATTTATTTGACCAGATCGTTGGCATTTCACTGGCTCCTTGCGGCCTGCACTGCACTGCACGTTTTTCTGTTTTTCTGCTTTTCTGTTGTTTTTTTTTTCTATCGACTGCTCGTCTAATTTGCGAAATTGCTGGCATGGCTGCTGGCTAAAGACAAAATAACTACAACAATAGCAACTCGGTAAGCTGGGCACATTATCGCTGGAATCGGCAAACATAAATAGCACCAACACCCCGTTTCTAGGGAGGGGTGAGCAGCCAATGGCCAAGTCTTGATTGGCCTATGGCCAGTTTTCCAGATCCCCAAACTAAGTGTCCAAAGTAGCCAAGGGCTTAAATGCAAGCATTAAGTCTGCATTTCTTTTCCCATATGATAAGAGCAATGCTATCAACTTTAATCATATATGGGTTTGGGGTTTTTTCAAAATTAGGGCCACAAAAGAATGAATTTACTTATGCCCTGATCTATTCACACATTTATTTTATACACTGTTGTATAATTACATCTTTTTTTTTTTGTTTACGTTGAATGTAATTGAATTTCTTATTTCATATTCTTTATTTATAAGAGTATACCCTGAATATGATTTATGGGAATTCAGTCAAATCAAAAGTTTTCCCATTTTGCATATTAAAATCAATTTTTATGGCTGATATGTATATTAATTATGTGTGCATATAATTATGGATATGTGTGTATAAAGTTATGACTAATTATCGATATTGAACACCATTGTTTAATATTCAAAATAAATGATAAAAACAACTGTTAAAAGACAAGATCGAATGGCAAACAAAAGAGAATGATTTAAGATTTGGTTTTGCCACATTTGCCACTCTTTTGTGTGCCAAAACAAAAGGTGGGCTTCTGCTTGTGGCGTTGAAAGTGGCGAGCAACATGAATATATAAGTAAATCCAAATATGAACCCAAACCCAAACCCAAACCCGAACCCGAATCTGAATCTGAACTCGACTCCGACATCCAGTTGGCATGCAGGTGAAAACAACTGAGAAGACAGACGAACACAAGTCGCGTAACACTTTCATCAAGTGAGTGTGTGCTCATCAATCATTCATTCATTGAGTCAAAACAACAACAACAGCAATAACAGCAACAACAATCATCAAAAAATAAAAACAAAAAACGAAAGCACAGCTCGACAACTTCAGAAAGTCACGAAACTACAAACAAAAACAGATCGAACAGCATTTGGCCAAAATATGGTGTGTGGAATGGTCGAATAGATGCCCTAAAGCACTGCAGCCCAGACACGCAGATCGATGACTATTGCGTGTGTGTTGGGCAATGAAAAGCTCTCGATCATAAACAAACCCAAAAGCTAGTAAGTGTACATGTGAAAGCTGGACAAAAGCTTGCACAATATGCATATAGCCTGGCCTAAAGGCACAAAATATTTTAGCTCTAGTTTTAACTGATAGAAAATGTATTATCACAATTTTGCATTAATTCTTGTTACCATTAAGGATACCCTCTACACATATAGAAATAACATTGTCTGCAATCATATTTACAAGCATAAATCCATATTCCATAATCCATAAAATCAATATACTCTTCTGGCCAAGGTATCACAGAGTATATGTATATATAAATATCAAAGCTTCAAATGTAATTAATAAACGCAACGTAAGTGATAAATACGTTAGTGTTGTGATTATTACTGATGCAATTGTTGCTGTTGTTGTCTGAATTATGAAAGTGTTAAACAATCAGACAGAAAGAAGAAATGAGAAGCCAAGCAAAGCAAAGATATTTCATAATGATTACCGCGCACGGTGGCAGACACTGTGGAAAAAGCAGGCAGGGCGAAAGGAAAGACTACAGAAAGACTACAGGCTGCCAGACTACAGGTGGTGCAAGACAAACAATTAAAGCTGGCAAATACATACATACATACATACATACGTACATATTTGTATGTTGTTGCAAGAGGCATAAACGCCACTCGTAACATGATGACCCTGATGAAAATGACGATACTTGCTGTACAATGGGGCGTATGCGTTAAATTGAGCGCGTCGTGCCCACAACAAATGGAAAGAGTGTGCGTCCCTCTCTCTCTCCCTCTCTCTCTCTCTCTCTCTCTCTCTCTCTCTCTCATTCTCTCTATGTGTTCAGGTACCATGACATGTACATGCAAATGTATATGTATTTGAATGGGAGATAAAAAATTGAAGAGAAAAAATTGCCCATTGCGATTGTTGTCGGTGATTTTACATTGTATTTTAACATGACACTTCTTCAATTCAAATTCACAATTCGCTGATTATCTGGCTTTTGTTCGGCTTTTGTGGCAACTTGGGACTGGGACTTGGTCGAGCGGTGGGCAACGGTGGCTGCGTGGGCGTCAGCCATGTAATTAACACATTGTTCGCTCAGCGTGTTGCACCATGTCGCATTAGTAATGCGAGCGCGTCTAAGTGGGCGTTAAATGGGCGTTCATTATGCTGATTTCGTTTGGTGACGTCATCCAAAATTAATGATGCGTAGTTGAGCCCAATCACTACATACATACAAGCATACCTCTATGTGCATATGCATCACTGTTGTCTATCAAAGCAGATATGCAAATCGTCAATACATAAATTGTGTGCTAGTTTTTTGCAAAAGTGTGTTTATTGTCACTAGCATAGACTGGCCATCAAATAACAAATATTAGCTTACAAAAACAAAAAGTATGTTAAAGATTAAAAGTTAACGCTCGAACAAATCAA